TTGTTAGTGTCATACATGTCAACTACAATGGATCCCACCTGCCGTAGATACTTAAGTCCTCTGCCCTTCCCTTCCAATGTCGTTTCCCTCACTTGCCTCATTCTCTCTCTCTCTAAGAAGCAAAGTGAGAGTGAACTGCTGCCCTTGGAGAAGCCCTTGCTTGGAGCTTGAGGAAGCCCATGGGTGGGAAGTTTGAAGACACCGTGAGCATCAGGTAAGTAGGTTTAGGGCTCATGCATCAATTAATGTGATAGTAATAGATTTCAAGGAACAAAGATCAAGAAAATGATAGAATAAAGGGTATAGATGTAGTTGAATTAAAATGAGATTAAATGATTGATTGAGTATTGCAAATAAACTTGTTAAGTTTATGGAATAGATCACTTGCAAGTTTAGTTTAACATGAATGAGGTTTTACACCAAATTTTTTCTTGGCTTATGAAAGGTTGTATTTTAATTGAAGCATATCAAACTTACCAAAAGTAAATTTCTAGGAACTACGAGGGTTTTTGCACCGAACTTTTCAATGAACAAACGATGTCCAAATGTGCTCAAATCGATCTTGAATGAAATATATGCTTGTCTACTACAATGTTTCTTTTTGCACCATGTTAAAATTTCACATAAATCAAGAGATATGCCCCAAAATGATAGGGATTTGTTACTACCCACAGTTGCTGGAAATTCCACCAACTATCACCAATTTTGCGTCAAGATTTTGGCCTATTAAACGATGTCCAATCACTTCCAAACAACTACCATTTAGAGGATCTATGAATGAGTTTAAGGTTGTATGTTTGAACCATTTTGAAATTCTCCCTAGATTGGGAGTTATGCCCCCAAGAAGAGGGGTATGTTATACGTCATAGAAATTTTAGTCCTATGCATGTATTGTGATACCTTTTACTGGATTACTCACTAAGAAACTCAAGTGACGCAGTGTTATCTTTGATAAGCGATAAGCGTGAGTGCTATGTGATAATTTTCATGTGATGAATATTAAATGCCATAGTATTACGTGAACGGTGCTATGCAGCTATGCGTTATTTGAAAATTGATAAATGGCATGCTACTGTGATAGTTCCATGTCGAATTATGACAAGTGTCGTAATGCTAATGACGATTGCTAAGCGTAAATGCAATGCAATAGCTCTAATATAATGGGTGTTTTATGCTAGGTGTTATAATGCTATGTGACTGCTGGATATTTCTGAGTAAGACTCAAATTTTACATGATGAAATTTTGAATTATCTGTCATAAGGTATTGATTTAACATGAATGAATTAAATGCTTGAGCATGATATGATGCCGTGATAATGACTACGCAATGAGACACCTATTGGTAATGGGTACTATTCTGTTATGATATTGTGATACTAGCCACTACGCGATGGGGCACCCATCGGTAGTGGAAACTGTTGAAAATATAGCCTATCAAGGCCTAAATTTCAGTAGTCTCTCATTCAATGAGAGTGATTGAGAGATTGAAATATTGGCGTCTTACGAAATGGAGCCTAGATTCTTTTACCCTGAGTACGAATGAGGCATCGAGAGTTCACGTGTTGAGAAAATAATTTCTCAAGGAGGTGTGAGGGTCACCTCCTAGTCAGGATTTTGTAGGTTAGCCTCATGTTTAGCTGCAATCGGCCATGGCTTGGAGAATCCAAATGAGAAAAATAGAACCCAAGTACTAATTGAGTATTCACCCTGTATGGAATGGTTAAGACTTATGGGACATAAGCCTGTATCCTGACACGAGACCATTGCATGGCATGTGCATTTTCATTTGGTACGGGAAGCCACTCTTCCAAATGCATTATCCGAGTTTGGAAGAGCCAATGCACATGTGCTTTGAGAGGACCCCTGTAATTGAATTAGATTATGTCCCACAAGGGTACACCAGTAATCCATTGAGAACCGAATAATCGAAAGTTCGGGCTCAGCAGGCTTTGATAAGGCCAATTATGTGTCCCTGCTTTATACTGTGGAACATATGTCTATTGGGTCGATCTGAGACTCGATGGAACATCATTCGGGACTAGCCCAATGAAGTACTCCAATATCTATAGTTATTAACCTGAGATCTCAGTATACCTTTTGTCAGATTTTAGAATGATGAGAAAAACCTAATAATTTATCAAAAATACTTTAAATATTTATTGTAAATTTTAGAGAATTTTTTCGGAATTTTATTTATTAAAAAAATAAAGGTTTTCGTATTGTTTGGCTCAAATTCCACTTTAGTCCTGACCTGGTAGTGCCATGTGGCATCCGAGTGGTCATAGGACTGCCACATGGCACCCCACACCTCACTCTAGGATCACCACCCATCTGGGCACTGATCCCTAGGCGAGGGATTAGATTGGCATTTGGTTACTTGTTTTATAAGGGGTTGTGCTATGGTATCTTGTTATATATTGTTATATAATATTATAAATTAAGGCCCCTTTTTTATCACATGTCTTAATTAACTCACACATGGGTCATGCATGGCATGTGAGAAGTTTAATTAATTAATTTATTTGATATTAAATAGAAAATACATTTTCAAATTTGAGTTGAAAAGTATCTTAACACACATGTGTGAAGGGGACATTATTTTTAAATTGATTGGTTTAAAATTTTAGATCTACAAAGTGATTAGCTTTGATAAACAATATTATCTCTGCATGTGCAAGCTTTGTCAATTACTATTTTACCCTTTAGCCTTTGTGGTTATCTACTATAATAGATTATTAACAACAACTAGGGATATTTTTGTAAGGCCATATTAGATACAATTGGAACAAAAATATGGGCCAAGGACAGAATGGTAAAGTGGCATAACTTAGAGTTAGGATGAGTGATAATGGTGTGAAATCCTATCCCTTCATCCTAGTGGTTGGATGGAGTTGGGTGGCTAGGTACATTAGCCTCTCATGTACTTTTGGATTAGTGCATCAATGATGTCGATTGAATCCAAAGTTACACACATATTATAAAAGCACATTATGAGATCTCAAACCCTAACTATCTCAACTCTTGAACCATTTTTTTGGAAAATTATTGCTCTTTTCCTTCTTCTAAGATTTTGTAAGAGAAAATTGAAGAGAGAAAGCTTTTAGAGTTCCATTAATGGTGATCTTGATGGTGGTCCTCCTTTCTTATGCTTAAGTCCATAGTGTGCATGTATCAAGGTAAACTCTATTGAATTTTCTTTTCTCATAAGATCATATCCTCGGCATCTATAGTTGCTGGAATTTTGAATTTAGAAAAGTTTCATTGATCTTAGAATCCTCATTGATCATCTTTTTCATCATGCTTATTCATAGTGTGGTCCTTCATGAGTTATAACCTATATGCATGAGATTTCATGATCATGCATAGTATCCTTTAATTACTTTGCTTCAAACCCATTAAATAATTTAATCTTAGAGTGTCACTCCATTTTCAGAATTTTTTCATCACGTTTTTACCTATGGGGGTTCATAATCTTTCCATATTCGGATTTTGCACCAACAATGTAGCTTATCAGTTCATTAGTGTGTGAAAGAAATTGGAGTGATTTTAAGGCGACTCAAACCAAAAAAAAGAATAGATTGACACCAACTATGTTAACCGATTAGGTTTATATATAAGTGAGCTCGAAGATGATGGCTGTATCGCGTGAAAATGGAATATGAGATTTTAATGCAATTAATCTCGAACAACTTGGTTCATTGCCAGAAGAGGCCTCTGAAGAGGCGGAAAATGATGACACCTCTTCAGATGATGATGATGATGATGCATGACTACATGATTTGGGGATTACACATTCCCAAATTCTTAACTTTTCTTTTGACTCTATCATGCCTTAGGCCTAATTTTGAATATTTATATTTAATTTTGTATTTAATATTGGATGATTGGATGAGAGTCATGGGACATCTAAATTAATTGACTTAATTATATTAGTTTAGTAAAGTTTTTATGGATGAATTAGTTATTGATGGCATTAACATAATTTTAATTTTTTAGAATTTCAAAATTTATAACATTTTAACTTATCCGATTTTTTGTGCCTAGTCCGATTTATTGGCGATATCTTTACATGAAGTATTTTGCTGATCCGTATTTTTAACCTGCTTTTTTCATTTGACTGTTTAACATAAAAATGATTTCTTTCTGATTTTATGGTAAGCCTATATATGATAGTCCCCGGCTTGCTAACTATGAGAAAGAGAAAGAGAGTGCTATTCCGAAGAAAGAACCCCGTCTAGCAAAAGTGCTATTCCATCATTTTTGTAGGGTTGGCAACAAGTCGGGTTCGGTTCGGGTTGGCCTCGATATGGACTCAACCCGATTAGGCGTAACCTAGACTTGACCCAGACCTGATTTGGGTCCAACTGACTTCGATGACCTAGATTCGGGTTAGAAAATTTTAAAAATAAAAAAATATTTTATTATTATCATTATTTTAGTATATATATTTTATATATTTTATACGGGTTGTGTTGGAAAAATGTTTTGATGATAATGATACTAGTTGGGTTAGGTCAACTCAAATCCGGACCTGACTTGACCCAACGAAAACCATGTCAAACCCGAGTTCGTGGTTCAACAAGACCTAATTGCCACCTCTAATTTTGGAGGAATAGCGCTCACCATCCAAGTTTTCTAGGGATAAAAAGATCCTTCCAAGGAGCTGGAGAGACTTCGAGAGAGAGACCACTCCCCAAATATCCAAATAGGGGAGAGAATTCATGATGGTTTTGAGTACCCAAACCACTCATTCTTTCACGGACGGTGATAGAAAGGGTGGACCCACCATTCTTAATAGTAACGTGTTCTGTGGGTACCAGTAACATAATCTCATCCATTAATTGGACGCTGCTACACTTATAGGCTACAGAACCTACGTACATTTTCCCATCGTCCCTAGGGCTATCGTCGCTCCGAAAGCCATAACCGAGTCTCTATCACGTGAGCATCAAGTGACATGTGTCATTTCTTTTTTATACATATATATATAGTCCCCCGACCTTAACCCCCAGCCACGGTTTGCCAGCACCTAGGAAACCAGATTTAGAAAACTGAAAAACCCGGCTCTCCTTAGGGCCAAATTAGTTACCTTTACCGTCCCATTGTTTCCCCATTTTCCGACGCCGGAAAATCGCTTCTCCCGTAGGAAACTGCTCACGGTATCCCGAATTTGGCTCTGAAATGGCTGGTATCAGGTGGCCGCAGGAGGACTCTGAGCAAGCTCAGGTTAGGGTCCAGGGCACAGCTGACCTCGTCTCGGATGATGATAGATCAGTCGCTGCTGATTCATGGTCAATAAAGAGCGATTATGGGAGCACTCTCGATGATGAGCAGCGCCATGTCGATGCCGCTGATGCTCTCTCGAGTGGCACCTTTCGAGCTGCTTCTGATTACAGGCATGGACAATATTGCAATGCGCTTCATTTCTCTTTTTGATTTTTATTCCATTTCTATTCCTCTTTGTTGTTGATTGTTCTTCTTGTTTTGTTTTGTTTTGTTTTTATGGGATTGATTATGACTGTTTTTGCATCTCCGGGATTTGCTGTTTGGTTTTAAGTTTCAGGATTGTTGTTTATGTGCCGCTGGTTTTCAAGTAGTCTCTGGTTGATACTTTCAAAAATACTTTCGTTTAGTTAATTCTTTTTAATTCTTTTTGGTTTTTAAGTAGTCTCTGGTTGATACTTTCTAAAATGCTTTCGTTTGGTTAAATCTTTTTAAATTTTTTAGTTGATGCTTTAATGTTTTACGGTGTTTAGATTTGTGGGAATGCTTGAATGTTAATATTTTCTGACTTTTATTTTTTTCTGCTTTCTTTATTTCCTTCTATGTTTTCTCTATTGAGGTACGGTGTCTGGTATCATGTTTTTCAGGTTATTGCCTAATCTACATGAACATTTCTTTTGGTTAACCTGCATTTTACTCGTTAGCTATTGGCTTTGATTGGATTTAAATACATATGAAATCTCTTGGATAAATCCTGTTCGTCTTGCATTTTAATTGTGCCTTTTGTGTCAACATGAGATGAAGATCTAAGATCCATCTCAAGGATATCTTTAAGTTTTGTAAAAAAAATTTGTTTTTACAAAACATAATTTTTTTTACTCAAGGATATCTTTAAGTTTTATAAAAAAATTTTGTTTTAATTTCTTTTGCAAAACTTGGAGTTTTTGTAAAATGTTTTCGTATATGGAACAGTTCGGATAAGGAAGAACCAGATGCTGAGGTGGAAACATCAATGTTGGGTCTTCACAGCTATTGGGATGCTGCATATGCGGATGACCTGGCAAATTTCCGTGAACATGGCCATGCTGGTGAAGTCTGGTAAGGAATTTTTATTTTTGGGATGCCTTGCATGTAAAATTGACAGATGGGTTCTTTTCATGCTCATTTCATCTTCAACTTTTATGAATTTATTCGTTGATTTCCTGTCTCACATTGCCATTTGCAAGTGGATATAACCACTTTTGTACTACTGCAATGATGAAGCTTTTTCTAGAGTATCTATTTGTGTTTTTCTAGAGTATCTATTTGTGTAGTTGGTGCCTCGTTTGATTTGATGTAGTTTGGATATCAGGCCAATCTGCTAAGCATGCGATTAGGATTTCAATTTAGTACATTCCCTGCAATTGAACATCTCCAGGCTATTTGACAATACAAATGTTGTACCCATTTCTTTTTTGATTTTATTTTTTTTTACTTTTTCATGTTTTGATTTGTGAGCAAAAAATTCAAATGCAAGATCAATAGCTCACGCATTATAGTTCTTGTAATGAAATGTTTTATACAAGTTGTTTTGGTTGTAGTGTCCTTGTCTAAATTTTAACTATGATAAGCAGCATCAAAAGAGTTTTGCATTGAATTCTTGGATTTCATTTTTTTTTTATGGTTCTTGTCATTTGGTTGCTGTACATGTTTCAATGTTTTAAAAAACGGTCTGCCTGGCGCCTAGGAGGCCTGGACCAAAAATTCGCACGTCTAGACCCATGCAGCCCTACACTGGCGGATGTACCTGGGCAGGCGCCCAGAGCCGTAAGGCCTTTTTCGTGTTTTTAAACCGTCCAAAGGGCAAAAGGGGTCATTTTGACCCCCAAGGTTGTATAAAAATGTTATGGAGTTTAGTTTTAACCCTCAAAGTCAAAAAAAAAAAAACCCTCAATATATGAAAACCCCCAAAGTGAAAAAACTACAGGGTGTCCGTGTCCGAGGTTTTGGGTGCCCGCCTAGGCACTTGGCGCCAGGCAGGCCGCCTCGGGGCCACCTAGCGTTTTTTGAAACCTTGTCGTGTTTAGGTTTTAAAAAACCTTAAACTTTTGATTGTTATATAGTGTAATGAATTATTTGCTTGTCCATTCAAATTGTCTTGTTCCATCAGCATGCCATATTTAGATACCCGCTGGTACCATTAGTTCTTTTAAGATAATATGCATGCTTTCATGCACCTCATCATTATCATTATTTGAGCCTTTTTCCAACTATTTGGAATCGGTACATGAATCCTTATCTGCCATTCTTCTCTATCAAGGGTCATACCTTTGTTGAGGCCATAAGTCCCCATATGTTTCTCACTACTTCTAACCATGTCCTTTTAGGCCTACCCTTGTCCTTTTTGAGCCTTCCACTAGAACCAACTTCTAATGGCTGTCGTACTGGGTCTGTGCTGTACATGGCCAGCCCACCTAAGTATACTTTCTCTCATCTTATCGCCTATTGGAGCCACGTTTAAGTTCTCCAAAATGTAGTCATTTCATATTCTATTATTTATTGTCTTGCCACTCATCCATCTCAACATCCTCATCTCGGTTGCACTCATCCTATGGGTATGTTGTTTCTTGACTGCTCAACATAGCGCCCCATAAAGCAAAGCTGGTCTCACAGCTGTCCTATAGAACTTCCCCTTCAACTTCATAAGTATAGGGTGATCACAGAAAACTCCAGTTGCTCATCTCCACTTTGCCCCCAACTCTAATTCTATGCAAGATATTTTCTTCAATCTCTCCATTTCTCTGGATTATCAATCCAATATATTGAAAGTGCGTGCTTTCATGCACCTCAAATGTTAAAATCATTGACCTATGGATGCCCGACTTCTAATATTGTGTGATACTCGTACCATATCCTTCTTCTAATTTTAAGATTTTTCTCTTCTGTCCTTTATAGATGCACCAATTTGTTGTGTTTGAAAGTTTAATTGTCTTTGGACAGGTTTGGGGTTGAAGTTATGGAGATTATCTCCGGTTGGACCAAGAATTTGTGTTCCAATTTTTCTCAAGGTTCTTCAAAGAATCCAATTGACAAAGCTTGCCAGAAATCAGAGGCAAGCGAAGATGTCTGCCCAGATTTGGCTGGCTGGAGTGTACTTGATGTTGGGACTGGGAATGGTCTGCTTCTCCAAGAACTTGCAAAGCAAGGGTAATACTTTAGCTGTTGCTGTAACTTTTTAGTTTGTTGCATGACTGCATCAAAAACTTTGCTTGTGCATGAGGCATTGAAACAATCGCATTATTTGTCAAGTTGTATCCTCTTCTTGCTATTTTAGACGGGTATCTACTTTTGTGTTGTGTTTGAATTCCTGTGTTCATTATTTCTATTTCTAAGGTATTGTAATTATTTTATTTTTATTTATACAAAATATCATGTACTCAATGCTCAATTTCGATATATAGGTTCTTTTTTTCCCCCAATTTATCTTAATTTTTTCCTGTCTTGTTCTTTGATAATAATCTATTTTATTATTTTATCCTGATTAGTGCTTTTTGTTTGTGTTCTATATGCAATAAACATATCAATATCTAATCGTATAAGTTTACCTAGCACAGTGGTAAACTTTACTCTTTTAATTTTAAAAGGTCTTTCACCCAAAAAAAATCAAATCTAAGAATCAAATCCGGGTAGAGCCCTTTTTTTCTTCCCAGGAACAAGACACCCCGTTTCTGAAATATAGACACTACACTCCTTAACACTCCTGTCGTTTAACCGGGCACTTATGGATGAAGTGTCCAGCCCGATTTCTTCTTTGTTTCCTTTTCTGTTGAAGAGAAATCAATTATACTTCATATCATGATATGATATGCTTAAAACCTTATATTGTTGAAATTGAGTTAACGAGAAACTCTTAGGAAGCTTCTGTTTGAGTTCTAGCAGTTGACAAATGTGACATCTCTTAATAATTGTTACATGAATTGAAAACTTGCTTTTAGGTTTTAGAAACGCCACGCCCAATTGGCCTCATTCATAAAAACGAAGGAACTCACTGCATTCTTAGTCTCACCTGAGTCCGTTCTCTGTCTGCTCTTAAGTTTATCTGAATTTGACTGAGTTTTAGCTTAGTCTCATAAAAGATAGTGAATGTTCTTAAATATCCAAGTTTTACATGATAAGACTGGCCAAACCAATTTGGCTTTGGGAATTGACTCTCCTAAGGAACCTGGCGAGTCCTAAGGTGAGCTGAGTTGTAAAACATTTACATGAATTCAGCTTATGGGCAAACACTATCAAGGTTTCTTTCAGTAAGTTTGGAAGTTTAAACTGAGCATCTTTACATTGCTTAATCGTTCACAACATCAGAAATTTGACATACATCAAGATCAAATAAAGTTTTTGAGAATTGTAGTGTTACTGTCTTGATGATCATGTATTCAGATCTGATACATACACATAATCTCACTTCCAGTCTTTTGCAATGATAAGAGGAAGTTCATATGTCTATATTCCCCAATTTTACATTCTTGGGACCTTTATGTGAGGATCAAATATCTTAAAAGGTGTTTTCTCACCCATTTCAACCATTATTTCGTTCTTCATTTGACAATTTGTCTTTAATTATTGTTTTTTCACCTCTTTTCATGCTATAATTCCATTAATGAAATTTATATTATGGTGATCGTTTTCTCTCCTTAGCCCTACAAATCTTATCTTTTAGCGATCTTTTTTCCTCTTAGTTTTAAGAACCATAAGATTATGTTTGGGATCTGGTTTGGGGTTCCAAATTTGAAACTTTAAAGTTCGTTTCCATTGGCGGGATCATTAGTAGGAAGAAGCAAGCTTTGGACGGTGTGCTTTCTCACTTTAATTCCTGATGCTCGATTACTGATCGAATGCGTAATGGTCCTGACTCTGTGCCAGAATTATGGTAGATGAGAAGTTTTAAGAAGGTGCACTTTGTTGACTGTTTTACCTAAGTTGTTTCTTTTTATGTGTTTATTTTAAATATTTGAAGCCTAATCAATGATATTAGAAGCTGTGGGGCATGTCCTCATGATATAGATGTTCTGTTTTTAGGTTTCCTCCTTTAGGGTCCGTATCGATGATAGTTAACTTTATCCGGATTAAACTTATCATCCTAAACTTTATCCGGATTAAACTTATTAACACACTTTGTAATATTATTATGTTAGCTGTTTGGTGCGTACCTTGTATTATTTATAACATTATTTAATTATTGTTTAGCACCCTAGCTCAAAAGTCAAAATAACTTTTTATGTAATTTCCAGCAATTTCTAGCTAAAAGAATGGTTTCAGCAAATTGCTCTGAATTAAGTAAAAACAGCTTTACAAAAAGATAAACTTTTGTAACTGTGTATAATTCGAATAATTTTATGGACACTGCCAAAGAACAATTAATTCATTGTCATGATTAATTTTATTGAAGAATGGCTTATGAGTGATGACTTATACATCTAAACAGGCCCATAAAGTAGTCATAGCTGAACGGCTGAGGTCCTTGAAAGATAATCTTTGTATTTTTCCTGCACTTTCAGTTTTATTTTTCTTTGCACTTTGTTTTTGGGTGCACTTATGTTTAGAGTAGTTGAATGACAATGTTAAGTGATGCTTTCTGGAATCAGGTTCTCTGATCTGACTGGAACTGATTATGTTGAAGGAGCAATTGACCTTGCTCGAAACCTTGCTGACCGTAGTGGTTTTTCCAATATTAACTTTCTGGTACTCCTCTCAGATGATCAGTTTCAATATTCTTATTTTTATTCTAAAATTCAATCCTTTGCCTTTATAATATATGGTGGTTATATTGTTTCCAGTATCATTCATTGGATGATGCCAATATTGTTTGATTAATGTTATAAATTATGTACTGCTTTGTATGGTAGGCATTGGCTACTCAATTCTCTCTTGCTACAAAGACAATGAAAGACCTTTAACTTTGTTTCAATTATATGTACACTTACATTAAAAAGGGCCGTAACCTGGTGTTTGTCCTGCCTACGCAAGTCCCGCGAGGGCTGAGATGGAAACGGTCCTATCTTTGGCTTTTTTTATGCACAAAGTGGCCGCTCTCAGGACTCGAACCCGCACTATTGTGCTGGCTACCTGAGCCTCTTTCCGTCACACCAAGTGACGGTCCTATATATGTACACTTACATTATGGCATCAAGATTGCTAGTATACGTATAGGTTACACTTTCGAGGCTATCCACCATTGTCCATAGGCCTGTGGTTAGTTAAGGTTTAAATCATGTTGCAGTCATCTTTTTTCTTTCACTTTTTCATAGTTCTGGATATTTCTTATCTGATCACTTTTAATTTTGTGCACCATATGGCCTATTATCCATCAAAAGGCTATGGCATTGCTAAGTTGATTTTCATGAAAATACACAACTCTGATTTCTTTGAGATGATAGGAATTATATTTTCCTGTGCAACCTTTTGTGGCTTCTTGAATGAAGAAAACTAAAAATTGTTAATTGGGAGATTCACGTTGGGTTATGTGGGGTCATACTGACACTATTGAGGTAATTAGGAATTTGGTATGACTAAGAATTTGGTATGACCATGGGTCATACTGACTCATGGTTCCTGTTTGAATCAATGATGAGTTAAAATGGGCACCATTAAGAAAAATTGCACTCTGTGATTTTTCTCTTGGAGGAATTCGCACCTGGTAGGATGGAGTCCAAAGAATCTTATGAGACTAAACCCACTATAGAGAACATACTTTCATAAGCTTTACGGGTGCAAACTGTATCGAGAAAGTAAAAATAATAGTGTGGAATTAAAATTGTCCATAACTTCCATTATGCGTGAATATCACGTGTTAATGGCCTTCTGTAATTACCAGCTGTGCATAAATTGTCTGTATTTTACACTTTTGATGTATGGGTGGCTCTTTCTTTGTCAAGGCAATGACTGCTGAGGCAGTTTAGAAAAATGGCAATTACTGTTGAGGTAATGCTTTTTCTCTTTTGATTGGTATGACTATTGAGGTAACTAGCACCCGGGAGAGGCTGCTAAGAATTTGGTATGACTATTGAGGTAATTAGGATTTCAATTTAGTGGGTAGGGTGACATGGTGTATAATGTTTTGTCGGCATCTTTGAAATGATGAGATGGAATAATTTGGTCGATTCTTGGTTGAGTTGGAAGATGTTTATGTGCCGATGCAAGGGGTGGATAGGTGGGTATGGAGTTGGAATATTCGAGGAGGTTTTAATGCTAGATCCTTTTACAGGATTATATCGGGTGCTGACGATCACTTATCTCGTTTGAGGGTTGTTTGGAGGGCACACACTTCGTCCCGTGTTTTTGCTTTTGGATGGTTGGCATGCTGCGGGAGCATATTGAAAGTTGACCTCCTTCAAGGCCCAGTTATGCAAATGCCAATATTTGTGTTTAATGTTGCGCTGAGGAGGAAATAACAAACGATCGTATTCATTCGAGGTATGCTATGGCCATATGGGTGTATGGTCTCGATCTCTTTGGCATGGAATGGGTGACCCCAGGTTTTGTCGAAGCGCATATGGTTATGGCAATCCCACCTAGGAGCAGTGTTTATGGCCATCATTTGATGCATTTGGAAAGAGCAGAATGGTCATATGTTTAGTGCTCTAAGGGTGCAAAATTGGTCCTTAGGGAGAGGATTAAGAATATGGTGATTACATGGGATTTTCATTGACAAGAATTCTGAGGTTTTAATCCTATTGATTGGTCAAGGATGGAGGAATTTGGCCTTAATAGGTCCACCATTGCTTCAATGCTGGGCAGTTTGGGTTTTTCCAGTGGAGGGATCTAGCACGCGTTAATTCAGGACCAGCAGGCATGGGTGGGAGTTTTAGTGATGAAGAAGGTAGGATACTTAAAAGCCCTTCTGATCCATTGAGATATGTGATTCTACATTAGCGGAGGCTCATGCATTGCTTACAGGCTACGATCTGTCTGTTCTGTTTAAGAAGTCAATTAGTATCAGAAGGGGATTTTCTCAACATCATAAGATGAGGCCATAAAGAATCCTCTCTCCATGGAGGTTGGCTATAATTTTCTGTTGCAATCTTTGAGATTTGTGACATCTAACAATGTGATTTTAGTGCACATTCTAAAGGGGGGGCTATTCCAAGAAGTTGATGCCCTTGCCAATGATTGCCAATGAAGGGCTTCTTCGAGAATCACTCTATGTCACAACAATTTCAAATTTTGGAATCTTGTGGTGCATTCTTAACATCTTTTGGACTTTTTTTGTTTCAATTCTTTGAGAGAGAGATTTAGGGCAGGTTGAGGAGGACCTGATAAGATATGATGGAGAGAGGTTTAGGGAGAGTGGCTTTAAGGCTGCCGCAATTAGGTCGTATCGTGAACTCTTTCTTTTTGAGGATCCCGTATGCTAATATTTCCCTAAGTTATCTCTCTCCATGTTGTCCCATCACGTTATGTGGCATGTATCCTGCCCTTAACTGCAGCTTAATATGTGCAGAATGGGTAAGGTTTGTGCGGTATCCAAAGGCTGCTGTAAGACCTGCCTCTTCTCTGCTCTCACCTATCAAATCTTTCTTGATAGTTAAGAGAACTCCTTCCTGACATTTTCTCTTTCTTCACTCTCCTTCCTGACATTTTCTCTTTCTTCACTTTGTTGTTTACTGCCTTTTTTCTCTTCTAGGTAAGCCAGATGCCTGGTGTTTGTCATAGGTTCCCCACAACCTGGAAACCCTTCTGTCATAACTGAGCTCCCTGATGGGCTTGGTACTGAAGGAGTCAGTTAATCAGGGTCTAGACCCGAAGTTCCTTCAACCCTGGATGAGTTAAGTGTATGTCGTTGACCTTCAACCACCATTATCACCTTTTTTGGAATATGACTATGCTCTGATATTTTAACAAAGTCTCTTTTCTCCATCTTATGCAGTCCTATTGAAGCTCTACCCCTAGACATTCTTGTTGCTCGTTTATGGTGATGGTGCTACCATGGAGGGCAATGTTTGTCCATTTAAAAAATATTAAAGAAATCCGTACTCTGCCATTTTAATTCACTTTTTTGTTATCTATCCACTGATCTGACCCTACTTTCTATTGAGAGCTACTGAAGATTCTCCATGTTATGTGCTTCTGTTTTGAGTATATGGGCGGCTTCTTGTCCTTTTGGCAGTTGATACATTATTTCACACTCACCTTAATTGCTACATTCGAGGCGCTGGATTCCACCTTCTTACTGCTGTATATCTGCAATCGAAGGTGAGAGAGACCCGACAAGACATAAGCTGAGCTCCTTTATTCTCTTTCTCAAACTTAAGCACTTGCCATGGCTAGCGGATCTCGTTGTAGACAATCTATCCAAATTCCGTCAGTATCAGTCTGTTTTATAGCGACCATTCAACACCTTGACGTGGACGAATTCCCTATTTTTTGATGTTCCCTATAAATGAATGCTGAGGTTCAATAAGTAAAAGGAGGCTAATAGATTCATTTGTTTCTTGGTGCTGTAAAAACCAAGATATACTGCCCAAACATAGTCTGAAGGCAGAATTTTGTACCTTGCCTGCATGACTTTTGATATGATATGCTTCAGGCCCTATTTGCAGATTTTGGGATTTGAATTTCATCCCCTAATTATGATAGTGTGATTTCTCTTAATCTATTATTTTATGACAAGAAAAAACATACTCGAGATCCTCACTATATTCGAATGAGATTACTTATGGCATTAGCATCATTCTTATTGACTTGGAATATACCTACTCACTTTTGTGCAAACCAGTTGCTTGTTTCTATTATTTCTTGTTTTATGATGGAGTTGTGAGACATACATATTTGTAGAGCATCATTTGCATGAATATGTTTAAAGTTTTGCATATGCATGTGACTAGGGGTTCGTTATAACTTTCCCCATAGTGATATTTTTGGTTATTTTGACCATGAATATACAGATGTTATTTAGTGACCATGTCATTCCTTCTAGCTGATCTGATTCTATACTATAAGTCCTTGTTCTGGAAATTTTCTCTTCTTTTTTGGTGCAATTATTATGTGGATTAGATGCTAGTATTATACTTCATGCTTTCAATTTTCATTGTTATATTGTATATCAATTGCTTTTGGTAAGAAGTGCGAAATGTAAGGAACATTGGTACTATGTTTAGGTACAGACAGATGCTTTTAGTTGTCTGTCCATAACAACAGTCTTGCTATCTGTTGCATGTCACAGGTGGATGATATTCTTGACACAAAACTGGAAAGACAATTCCAACTTGTCACTGATAAAGGGACTTTGGATGCAATTGGACTTCATCCTGATGGACCCATTAAAAGGTGAGATCCAGTCACTGCTTTGTTTTCCTCTACACTGTTTTCATGTGTGTGTGTGTGTCTATGTTTTTTCTGATAAGTGCTGGTTTCATGTTTGCTTTGGATCCCTATACTTAGTTTTTTTATCTTGCTATTTGGAGATATAATGTATGGTAGGCAATGTTGCCTTCTGCTGTGACAGGATTTGGTATTTGTACATATGATTGTCACTGTTTCTAGTGTAGTTATTATTCTGCCATTTAAGTATACCATGGGGAATCAAATGTGGATTACTTTTTAAATATAATTATGATTTAATGAACCAAAACAACTAGGAAAAAGGAGAGAACCCTTTGTGTGCTAAAGTAGGGGGCAAACAAAATCTTTCTCTCTCTCTCTAGGTGATCTACGTGAACCCTACGTGTTGCCTGCCCTCAATTTAGGTTTGCTATTTGTTTTACAGCAAGAGTTTCTCTCTTATAATGGAAATGAAAATTTCTTTGTTACTTGCTATCTTGTTTTGCTTTTTATTCGACGTAGACATGAGCATGTTGCGGTATAGTTATCAAAGAAAACAAACAAACAAACAAAAAAAACGGGGAAAAAAAAACACATGTTGCTGGGATAGAGAGACTATTTCTGGAAGGTTGAGCTGATGCTGGAATATCCATTTTGGAAGGGAGGGATGGATCTTTGGGTAAAAAGGGAGTTGCTAAGAGAAGAGAGAAGAGATTGTCTTATATCATATTAGAAGATATTTTTCAGTATATGTGGTGGGAGGGAATTGTATAAGCTTAGGAGTGATGTTTCAGAGTCTGTTGATTGGTGGCTTGCAAACTGTCCTAATGCAATACTTTTTCCGCTCATGTGGAAGTGTCCGCTAAACAAACATTTATATGAATTGCAATGTGGTGTTTTCTGCAGAACACTGTTAAGAAAGGAGGCAACTGGAAGATGACCATACACGTGGTGTTTTATGACAATAAAGTAGATGCAACTGATTGACATGAGGGTCAGAGGGAGAATGTATGCTACATAGATGTAGAAAAGTTCAAATTCAATCGCCATTAATGGAGTGGGTTTGCTTCTCCTGGTGGACAATCCGGATTCTAATGGAGTTTTATATGAAATATGATGAGACCTCACCTTGTTTCAAAAATGGCAAGTTCAGCATAAGCTTAGCTATGAATCGGTACTTATGAAGAGTTAAATACATTGAGTTGTTATGCTGAATCAAGTTATGAAGTGATCTGGACTGGAATGACTAGGTGATTCACAACATCCTAGTATTTGCAACAGCTGACAAACTTGGAAGTATGAGTGTTTTTGTGTCTCATAGATTCTTATGGATAAAGTTTAGTTGCACTAATGTAGAACAGATGGATTCCCATAGTTGTGCGGAGATCTTGTTCTAGGGGTGGCGATCCCCTCTTGGAATCTTGATCCGGCGATACCAAAGCCAGAGCTAAGCGATACTCGCTTCCTATCATCAGGGGATCTCGATCGCTGCTTGTTGGGATCTCGGTTCCTAACTTAAAAAGGGATCTCGACCCTTGACTGCAAAGGATCTTGATCCACTCCAAATTGTCTACTTAATAATTTTTGTCATTTTATATTATTGCAAAGTGTATTATAATGATGGATTATTTCATATATTTTCTTTTTTCTCTTCATTTTCATTTAAAATCTGTAATTTGTAATATAAAATATTCTCTCGGATTTCGTAATGCACTTTGTGTCATTTCATTCCTTTACTCCCTTGGTCAATCAACTCACTGCCATTGATTGACCAAGGCTTCCCCTTTAGATGGAATTGGTTTAGGCAGGGCGAATAGGTCACCAAAACAAACCCCAGATATACTTAATTTTCATTGCGACTTCCCTCTCAACCTTCTCCCAGTTGGGGATGTAGTAGAGTTGAGTGGAAGGCTAGCCGAATGGCTTTGTGAACGGGCAAGACTTAATTGTTTCTTATCTTCGTAGTGTAAGTGTAGTAGTAGTATAAGTGGTTAAGTTATCAAAGGAACGTTTCGCCCCCAGCTTAATTATTAATATTTTCATTCATTATATATTTTTTACACAAAATGTCTTTTCTGCTATTCCAAAAGTGTCCCCTCAATTGCATTTTTTTATTTTATAGTATTTGAAAGTGCATGAAAATAATAACATTTTTTTATTGATTATTTATTCTCTTAATTTTCATTTAAAGAATTTGTTTATAATAGAAAAGTCTTTTCTTGAATTTTGTAATGCCCTTTGTCTTTCATTTCTTAAATCATCAATTTAAAGTCATTTCATGCATGTATTACGTCTCTCTTCAAATCTTCCCTAAATATTTTACTTCATTTTTAGTTCTTAAGATTTTCGTATATTATATTTTTTACACAAAATGTCTTATCTACCTTTCAAAGGTGTTTACTCAATTGACAAACTTTTTTTTTGTATTTTATATTACTTGAATGTGCATGAAAATAACGATAGTTTGCATTGATTTATTTATTCTCTTAATTTTCATTTAAAAACTTTTGTATATAGAAAAAAATATTTTCTTAGATTTCGTAATGCTCTTTATGTGTTTCATTTCTTAAATAATCCATTTAATATTATTTCATGCATTTATTGTATCTCAGTTCAAAAGCCCAAATCTCTCTAAAATCTTTTTATTTATTTTTATTATTAAAATTTTCGTATATTAAAATTTTTTAACATAATATGCCTCTTTAATTTCGTATATATTATCTTATTTATAATATGAAATCTATTTTTGGATTTCATAGTATTCATTTGTCTATCATTTACTTGTCTATATACTGGTATGTATACTCTTATTTGTATGTCTATAGACTCTGTGTACTCTATAGAATTGTACTCTTTCGAAGTCGACTCTATAGACTCTTAAGTGTATAGTTACTTGAATTGCCTATGAGGGTAGTAATTCTGTTTTGGAATCTCGATTCGGCATTTCCCCGAGTGAAAGTCGATTCTAAAAGAAAGGAATCGCGTTTCTATGTTTTGTGGAACGCGATTCCACCTAGTTTAGGATTCTCGATTTTTGGATTGCCGGAATCAAGATTCCATATCGAGGACTTTATGATTCTTAGCTACACAAGAATGCGATTCTGCTTGTGAGAAATGTTGATTCTTAATGTTTTGGAATTGCGAATTCATGTTGTTTGGAATCAAATTTCTATATCGTAGACATCGTGATTCCTTGCTACACAACAATGCGATTCTACCTATGCCAAACGCTGATTCAAAGTATTAAGAAATTGTATCCATGTTGTCGGGAAACAATGTGAGCATAGAGAGCAGAAACCCTTCGATGTGTGCTCAATCATGAGTGAGCGCGACATGTATGAGAGCGTGAGAGAATTTGAAGTTGTTGCACATGGCAATAAAATCAAAATTTAAAATATGAGTAATATGTGGGCATAGGGAGAGTAGAAACCCTTTGATGTGTGCTCAATCATGAGTGAGCGCGACATGTATGAGAGCGTGAGAGAATTTGAAGTTGTTGCGCACGGCAATAAAATCAAAATTTTAAATATAAGTAATATGTTAAATTTCTTATTTTCTTATTTACTAATTTCAATCATTCATAGTTCATTCCATGTTACTTTTTAAAAAGTCTTTCCAAGAATAAATAATACTAAAAAAATATGTTACTTCAAATCTATTAATGGCACTAAACTACTAATGTAATAATGTTTAATATATGATCAACATCGTCATTTCTTCAAGTTGAATAAGAGGATAAAAATGCTTTTCTTTAAGTAAAATAATAAGATAATAAGGATATGATCGACGTGCCTTGTGTAGTGTTTTAGGTTAAATTAATCATTAAATATAATAGAAATTGACTAAAAATTGAATAACTCAATTTTCAAAAGTCAAAAGACTCAATACTACATTTAACAAAGAAGAATTACCTTGTCATGTACTTATTTTATAATTCAAGGAAAGGAGACAAAAGGAGCTTGCCCTTGTTCTCATTCCTTGTATGCCGTAGACTAGCTCCAAACCTTGTAAGCATAATAGGGGTATCAGTAGACCAAGTCCATTGTATAGGATTGTCCACAAAGATATCATAAAGGTTGACATTAGTACTTGGAGTCTTGGACTGTATATATACAGACAAAAATTTGATCTTGTAGTAATGGGTAAATTTCTATAGTTTTTGAATACTTTTCTCATATACTGGAAGGAATAGGTTCGCAATTCTACCAAGGGGAGAATCTAGATTCCAATATGGGGAGAATCACGATTCCGGAATGGTGAGAATGTTAATTCGAAGTTGATGGGGACAACGATTCTAGAATTTTAGTAATCACGTTTTCTTATTTTCAAGAATCACGATTCCAGCAGCCACCGAAACAAATGGGGTCATATGTGATTCCATATAGGTATGAAACGCGATTCTAACATGAAGGCACATCAATTCTTGTAAATAGGAAACACGATTCCTAATTTTTTGAATTGCAATTCCAAAATAGTGAGAATCAGTTTTCTTAAATCCGAATCGTACGGACAACGATTTCTAGATTTTGAAACTTCTGATACGCGTGATTTTGAGATTTCGATTTCAGAAATGATTCGGAATTACAGACGTTTCCAACAACTATACTTAAGCGTATTCTTTTTTTGGATTTTGTAATTTTTTATTAGAATTTCTAGCAATAAAGTTCTAATTAGCATGTGTTCAGATATAGAATGATAAAGATTGATTGTTCATTCTTTTATTTTTAAAATATCACTTCTGGAAAAATTGATAGGCAATTGTAAGCATATACACACACATACATTTGTGATTTATCAGGGTGTTCCCCATGCACTCCCACAGACATGTAGTGCATATATAGTAGATCGCTCCGAGGTCGCTTCCTGAGCAATACTCCCAAGCACTCCAAGGGTAGGGAGCTTCAACCAACGGTCGATCCTAGGTTCCTGCATCTACACTCGTGCCCACTCTTAACAGCTATGATTTGTTTCTTTCATTATTATTACTAAGATACTAAAAGAAACTT